GCCGACTGGGGTTCAAGAAGACAGAAGCAGAGATAAAAAAGAAGCATAGATACAAAAGGCAACTGTAAACACAGAGAAGAAAAAACACAGCCAGGCAGACGAGCTCCGAGCCAGCTTTCATGTCAAAGGATAAAGAGAGCACATCTAGCCAGTCACAGTCAGAGAAACAGGACCACACTGAAAACAGACCAATGACGAACATGTATAAATGACATGATGAAATGATATGTTAAAAGAAAAAGGATGCCAAGCTATCGTTCTCGCTGTTTTACATGGTGCAATAATTAAAAGATTTTTGGACTAAAAAGAAGCATCTTGAAATATATAATTTATTTATAAGGCAAAGAAAGGAAGTGATCTTAAATTAAATACTATGGTAATTATTATATTCAATGAAGATCCTCATCTCAATCCAGCTAAATCTGTATGTGCTTGAGCTAAAGGTCTGAGTTGTTGGTATTTTGTGTTTGAAGTGTGCTTCCTGGTTTTTAATGCATATATATATATATATATATATATATATATATATATATATATATATATATATATATATATATATATATATATATATATATATATATATATATATATATATATGTATATTATAAGAGGTTCAAAAGTTTACATCTGTATCCGTCTAAAGTGTGCATAAACTCATCAACAGTAGGCTTTGAATGGTATATTGTAATTTTTTTATTAAGATGACAAAAGGTAATTTTCAAAATTAAGTATTTGCTTGAATTTGCACTGATTTCTCTTTAATCAATATTTGGCAGAAATAGGTGGAGTCCTTTCCAAAACATTTGAATAATCGTCCTTTTTTGCAAGTTAGACTTTGACCTTGTGATTTTTATAGCCATTAACCAGCTTCTGGTAGAAGCCAGCTCCAGCATAAACACCTTCAAGATAAACAAAAGTGTGAAGTCTCCTCTACGTAGAAGCAAAGCACCTTTTATAGAAGAGGTTAACAGTGAAGGGAAATAAAAACAGATCCATTCAGCCACAGTGACAAAATATTCAAAGGAGGAATCTTTAATTTAAGAACATCTGATCAACATGGTTAATGATAGCACAATGGTTTGTTTAGCTACAAAATTATTCAAATTCAACTTGAACAAATAACTTTCAATAACATACATCAGAATCAGCTTTATTTGCCAGGTATGTGTACACATAAAAAGGATATGGCTTACTTATACAATAAAATAAAACTACAGTGGTAAAAGAAATAGACACGGTCTACAGAACATAGAGCACATAATATAATATAGTGTGTGCAGACACAGCAGTGTTAAATATGGTGATGGGGCAGTGCTGGGGCGGATTTAGGAAATTCGAGGCCCTAGGCAAAGACAGGCAGAGTTTGGTGCTTTTAGATCAGCAGTCACCAACCTTTTTACATTTGAGGGCTAATTCAGGGGTACTGAGTCACAGGAAGGGCTACCAATACTGACCTATGAATTGCAAAGGGTCAACGTTCACCTAAACTTCATACATTATAAACATATTTTTATCATTTCTTTAAATTTATAATTTTCTTTTAGACATTTTCATTTTGAAATCTCTATAAATGCTTAAATGCCATATATGATTACATGATGAAATGTTCTACAACCCTATTTAAAAAAGAAGAGCAACAGAATACAATGAAATTTCAAACGTAGCTCACTGTTGAGTTGTTCTATTTTCAGAAGACTCTAAGGGCACCCCTTGTGGTCCTTGAGGGCCCCTTGGCGCCCGCGGGCACCATGTTGGTGACCCCTGTTTTAGATGTTGTCTCCAAAGTCTCCAGTAGCAGAAAAAAGTCTCTAGATTTGGCGCTAGCCGCTTTTTTAAAATCAAAGTGCTAGGGGGGTCTGAAAAGTCGCTAAATATAGCAACTAAGCGCTATAGCGACTAAACTGCTCTTTGCATGGTTTGTTTTCAAATAGTTTGCTGCTGTCGTTTGGACCTTTCTGAACATGTGCAGCAAATGGACTGAACCAATATGGTGGACACTGGAGGGCGGGGGGGGGGGGGGGGGGGGGGGGGGGGGGGGGGGGGGGGGAATCAGAATCAGAATCAGAAATACTTTAATAATCCCAGAGGGAAATAACTTTTGTTACACGCTCTAGTTACAGTTTTACATGATATATACACACATCCAACTATACAATAAAATAAAGATAAAAAATAAGAATAAAAAGAGATAAAATATATATACACATATAGCTCTTCTGTATATATATCTGTACGTATATCTATGTATATGTAAAAACTAAATCCAAATAAAGTGAAAAGTCCAATTAAAGTGAATAAATCCAAGTAAAGTGATACGTGGCGTGCAAAAATAGTGCATAAATGTCAATTACGGGGGGGGGGGGGGGGGGGCGTGCCTGAATCACTTGAGGGAGGCGTTATATAGGTTGATGACCACAGGTAGGAATGATTTCCTGTGGCGCTCTGTGGTGCATCTGGGTAGGAGGAGTCTTCTGCTGAAGGAGCTCGTCTGCTGGACCAGTGTGTCGTGGAGAGGATGTGAGTCATTGTCTAAGATGGACCTGGACAAAAACCTGGACAGCACCCTCCTCTCTGCCACGGTGGTCAGGCTGTCCAGCTGCTCCCCCACAACATCACCGGCCCACACACTTAATACTATCAGCTTTCTGATGGCAAAAGGGTTTTTTATCAAAAACATAATTAATGTGCACAAATAAGGAATAGTTGTATTAATCATATATTTAAACAGAGTTTTATGGGGCCCCCAGGAACTTGGGGGCAGTGCTGGGGCACCTCTCCTGTAGTCTATGTTTATCTCCACAGGCAGTGCTGGTGGGACCAGAGAGGCAGCTGATCAACCTACCATCTGAGGCCAAATCATCAACTTACAAGAACAAGAAATTCAAGAGTTGACTGACGGATCTCTTGAGGTGCAGTTATTGGAGTGGAGGGAGAGGACCAGTGGGGAGAGCTGACACCTCTGGGGGCACCGCTGCTGATAGTTTGGGTGCTGTGTGTGGTTTTCCCATAGCCTCACCCTCTGTCTTCTGTTAAACAAAAGGTTTAGGTTTTACTGAAATTGTTTCAGAGATCTCGGAGGGCTTGGTTCTGAGCGATTCCGGGATTGTTGTTAAACACCAAGATGAAGTCTTTTGAAAATCCTCAGACAAACATTTAAGCTCTATTTGAATGGATAAACAGTCACATTTTGAACTTCTGGATTTATCGTCTTAACATTTTGTGAAATGGTCTTAAAGCTGGGTCTCAACCAGGAAACAAAGCTATTTAAATGAGATGTAATAATTTCTGATAAAAACAGTGGTCAAACATACAGTGAAAGTTATGTCAGTATGGCTGGAACCAAGCAATGCAATGTGCAACTTGTGCAATGTATAATGTGCAATTGCTATTATGCAATAATAACCTGTTTCTTTATATTTGATACCCAGTGCAATAGCTATATAAATATCCATCCATATAAATACTCATGTAAACACACTGTGCAATAACTCTGTATAATAATCCTGCTATTAAAAAAATAAAATAAAAAAGCTGTCATAGGTGGACGCATTGTTTATACTGTATATATCCCATGCATATTTTTCTTCCTTTGGCACCTTCTTCTTCTTCTCTTTTTGACTATTTGAGCTGATGTAAGGAGTAAATTTCTCCTCTGTGAGATCAATAAAGTCAATCAATCAATCAGGGCAGCAGGGCTTTACCTGCTGATTTCAAAGGCTTGACTACACTGCCATCTAGTGGAGATTAATTATAGTGGCGTATATTCTGCAGTCACTCTGCAGCTGTGACATACTCAGATATTAGCTTAGGTCAATGTACATTTTTCAGTGTATTTTAATAATTTGAAGCTTTTTTTTATTAATCAACATTACCTTTTAATTGAAATGTTCAGCTATAAAAGCCAATGGTTCTCATGGTACTCAGGAGGAACAAATAGGCTGTTAAAATACCCTAATCTTCACTTAATAGGCATCAAATTTGGACTCACTCGGCATCACTCTGCATCTAGGAAGCAGAAATGTATTTTTATAGAATAGAATATAATAATAATACCCCTTTTTGCCATAAAGCGGAGAAAGTCGGGTATTTCAGGGGCAAAGGGAAATTTAATAACATTTATTAGAATTTGCTATCTGCAGTAAAATTGCAGATAGTAAATAGTTTAACACTTAATTTAAATGAATACTTTTGTTTAAGTTTGCTATTTATTTCTAAAGACAAATTCTGCATCTTTTAATGATTTTAATTAAAATCAACTGTGCACCATATGAGTTTGAAAACCATTTAGATTTGGTATAAATCTGCTCTGTGACCTAACTTATTTGTGATAAGCATTTAGAAGGAGGTTTTATGACATAACACAACAAATTCACCAAAATCTGACTCTTGTTGACCTACTGATTAAAAATGATGTTTGGCAATATGTTATCCAATGGACACCATTTTAAAGAGTAAACTTTTTAACACTTTAATGTGCTGTAAGCAAAAAAAAAAAAAAAAAAAAAAAAACTTGTAAAAATAAAAAATGTGAGAATTGGGTTATAACCTTCTTGCGCATGTTTAGTCCATAAAAACTCCTGAAAAGTTGGCCTACATTACATTGCATTTTGTCTTAAAAAAAAATGGAATACTCCCATTTATACAAAAATAAATGTTTTATTTTTTTTTTAATTAAAGGGTAAACAATTACGATAATAAAGGAAAACTTAAAAATGGCTTTATTTAAAAATATTTAAAAAATCTTTTACAAGTAATCGAGTAGGTTTAAATGTTAAAGCCAACCTTTATTTTTTTTTTTTTAAACCAGCCTGTTCTTGTCAATCTGTCACGTATTCCTGTGTCAGAAACCTCTCGTTAATTGATGGTTCATTCCTCCAATGAAGAGTACGTATAACACTCGTGACGCAGGCTTGAATCCACCTCCGACCAATCAGACTAATGGTATTTTGAGTTACGACCAATTACATTTGAGGGGTGGGACCATTATTCAAGAAGCGCGAACGGTTAAGGGCAGCAATAAGAAAATGGCGATGTTGTTTACTTATTTATGCGAGTAAGGTTGTATTTACTCTTTTAGAATTCTAGAAAACCTCTTTTTTTTAGGTCTTATAGTTTCAGTTTTATAGCGGAAGTATTAGGCTATTTTAACAACCACCGTTTAAACATTTCTAAGGCGTCGCGTTTGACTGAAGTTTATAAAACTGTATGTAGTAATATTTGTTTGCTAGCAGGTAGCGCTTAGCGTCAAAGTATGAAGTTAGTTAAAGTTAGGCTTTTAAACGAGGCTAAAGTTATTGCTTGATATAAGAGACCGATATGTCTAAGCTGTTAGTCAACATTTGACCAAAACCGATCCGTTTTCACCATTTTGTTGAGCTAAACGGGCTGTATTTATGGCCATATCATAGCAGTATGGCCCTGCACAACCTAGTGTTTGTTATCGATGTCGATTATGAAGATTACCAGACAGACGGTCGGCTCGATGTTCGAAACAGTTTCATAAAACGGGGAATATTATATATCCTTTTGCATTTCGGCTACAAATATGGTTTTGAGAAGGTGCGTTGGGGTTACAGTTTTTTCCAGGCGAAGGCTGGTCGCAATGCGGGCGTCATATCGAGAGGATCTGACTTTAAGGAGCTGCGAAACAAAACATTTGAGGATTTTGAGCAGGAGTTTGAAGCCAGATTTGACCTGAAGGATAAAGTGCGTCCTTCTCAACACAGGCGACAGACAAATAAAGCGGTTTCTGTTCAAAACGCTGTGAAGGAAACTCTGTTGGACTTCCAGTGGGACAGACCAGACATCACCTCTCCTACCAAACTTTCCCTGAGGCCCAGGAAGTCTGGTCTGGTTGGAAAACTTGCTCTGTCGCAACTAAATGACTCTGTTTGCAGTGGCAGGAACATGGTGTTTGTAGTCTCACGGTGTCCCCATTCAAGGGCCCATTTTCTGGACTACCTGTCTTTAAAAGAGGACGATCTGCCATCAGATGTGACCGAATACATCCTGCCAAAGAGTCTTAACGACTTGCTTGTTCAGCAACAAGTTGTTCTTCACTGGATTGACAGTCGGTTACAGTTTGAGGTGAGTGCTCCAATATGATGGACATAGTGCCATCAAACATTCATGTTTTACTGATTAACCTAAGAATGAAATGATGTAAACACATTTATTCTGATGCCTAAGAATGAATTTATAGTAGCTGTTCTTTGATTTACATATAGTCCAAAATAATAGTTTTTTTCAGATAAACTGCTTAAGGAAGTTAGAAACTACTCTGTTTTTTTGTATTTGTTTCTTTTGTGTGTGGCCCTTTTGTTTACATCAGCCTTTTGGCGTAATCCTTGGGATTTGCTTTTGAAAAATCCCTGTTAGATGCCTCTTGTTCAATGTTCATTGTAAAACCAGGTTTGATATCATCTGGAATAATTGTCTTATTTACCATTTGCTCAGATTTCCTCTCTTCTGATCATTACAGGCTTCTATTGAAGCTATTTTCAGTTCTTTATGTGTGGTGCTGCAGGTGCTTATTTTTAGGCAGTTTGTTATAAGTTTGTCTAAAATGTAAAACCCTGATCTAAATCTATGTTGTACAATTATAAATAAGCTCTGTCTTTTCTAATAGAAGCTTTAGGGACAGGAACTCCAGGACAGGAAGCAGAACCAGATGTTTTAATCCTCTGTACGGTTCAATTCAGTTAATTTATATAGTCCAATTCACAGCACATGTCATCTCAAGGCACTTTCCAGTTCACCAGATCATCTAGTCAGATTGATTTTCAGTTTTCAGTCAGTTTTCTATCTAAGGAAAACCAGCTGATTGCATCGAATCATTGACTCAAAGGCAATCCCTTCCACTATCCATGCTTGTAGCGACAGTGGAGAGGAAAAACTTTTTAGCTTTTAACAAGAAAAAAACTCCAGCAGAACCAGGCTCAGTGTGAGCGGCCATCTGCTGAGACCGAATGTTGTGGGTGGTTGTGCTTCACTTTTTCATCAGCATGGAAGAACTCAACAGGTCTGCACACAGCTGTGACCACAACACAGAAGAGCATCTTTGGGATGAAATGAACCAGGCCCTTTTGTTCAATATAATTGTCTAATATCCTAATCAAAGTGATGAAACAGTGTTTCCTATTTCTCAATAATTATAAACGGAAATTTACCTCATACTTTGAATCTTTATTCAAACATCTTTGCAGACTGTATTATCACATCTGGATAGAGTTTACTTTGGAAATATAAGAAACCGGGAGACTTTTTTTTCATTTCTTCCGAAAGAAACTGTCTTGGTAATAGATCATTTGTTGGAGAACTGGGATAGTTCCATTGACAAGTAAACTCACTATATTCACCAGGCTACATAAGTAGAAATCTTTTTGAGAAAACACACAATGACTAAAATTAAAAATGCATATAATTTAGATTAGATTTGATTAACTTTATTGATCTCACAGTGGAGAAATTCACAGGTCACATATTGGCATAGTAAATAAAGAAGGTGCAAACAAGGAGGAAAAAGTTGCATTAAGAATAAACAATATACACTATATTGCCAAAAGTATTTGCTCACCCATCCAAATTATTGGAATCAGGTGTTCCAATCACTTCCATGGCCACAGGTGTATAAATTCAAGCACCTAGGCATGCAGACTGTTTTTACAAACATTTGTGAAAGAATGGGTCGCTCTCAGGAGCTCAGTGAATTCCAGCGTGGAACTGTGATAGGATGCCACCTGTGCAACAAATCCAGTCGTGAAATTTCCTCGCTCCTAAATATTCCACAGTCAACTGTCAGCTGTATTATAAGAAAATGGAAGTGTTTGGGAACGACAGCAACTCAGCCACGAAGTGGTAGGCCACGTAAACTGACGGAGCGGGGTCAGCGGATGCTGAAGCGCATAGTGCGAAGAGGTCGCCAACTTTCTGCAGAGTCAATCACTACAGACCTCCAAACTTCATGTGGCCTTCAGATTAGCTCAAGAACAGTGCGCAGAGAGCTTCATGGAATGGGTTTCCATGGTCGAGCAGCTGCATCCAAGCCATACATCACCAAGTGCAATGCAAAGCGTCGGATGCGGTGGTGTAAAGCACGCCGCCACTGGACTCTAGAGCAGTGGAGACGCGTTCTCTGGAGTGACGAATCGCGCTTCTCCATCTGGCAATCTGATGGACGGGTCTGGGTTTGGCGGTTGCCAGGAGAACGGTACTTGTCTGACTGCATTGTGCCAAGTGTAAAGTTTGGTGAAGGGGGGATTATGGTGTGGGGTTGTTTTTCAGGAGCTGGGCTTGGCCCCTTAGTTCCAAGGAAAGGAACTCTGAATGCTTCAGCATACCAAGACATTTTGGACAATTCCATGCTCCCAACTTTGTGGGAACAGTTTGGAGCTGGCCCCTTCCTCTTCCAACATGACTGTGCACCAGTGCACAAATCAAGGTCCATAAAGACATGGATGACAGAGTCTGGTGTGGATGAACTTGACTGGCCTGCACAGAGTCCTGACCTCAACCCGATAGAACACCTTTGGGATGAATTAGAGCGGAGACTGAGAGCCAGGCCTTCTCGTCCAACATCAGTGTGCGACCTCACAAATGCGCTTCTGGAAGAATGGTCAAAAATTCCCATAAACACACTCCTAAACCTTGTGGACAGCCTTCCCAGAAGAGTTGAAGCTGTTCTAGCTGCAAAGGGTGGACCGACGTCATATTGAACCCTATGGATTAGGAACGGGATGTCACTTAAGCTCATATGTGAGTCAAGGCAGGTGAGCAAATACTTTTGGCAATATAGTGTATATACGGTGTATCAAGGTATATACAGTATATCAAGATAAATAAGGAAGTGTATATAATACAAATCTAGATAAATAAATAAAAACTATTGGTCACAAAACCTGAAAAGTAACAACTGTGTTGAAACACTGCATTTCCACATACAAAACAGCAGCAATATAGCAGCAAAATACAGCTCAGTGTCCAGCTCATCATTGCCACGTAGCATTCGGAAACAGAATACAAGTTTTAAACCTTTGTCGCACCAAGACGATTCCTCAGCCTATCCTTGAAATGGTTTGAAAACGCTTTCTTGTTTACTCAGATTCCACCAGCTGGCTTTTTTTCCTCTTTCATTTCTTCTGCTCTGTATGCCCCTAAACCCCCCTGGTTTATAGATATTAAATTCTACCTCAAGGTTATTACTGGATCTGGGCATGCGTAAGGCAAAATATAGACCAAAAGAAACAAAACTTTCCAGTAAATTTGACCTTCCAAGTTCATTCTAGAGGGAACTGTTACTTCTGGCTTGAAAAAAATGGCATCCAGAAGGAACATCTAACAGTGTCCCACATAGTTTATTGAATCTTCTTGTCTTATTGCAGGTAATGAGCTGTGAGGACTCTTTTGGTTCTGACAAGCTGTCTGCAGTACTCGCTGAAGTTGGTGGCAGAGTGATCCCCGTGGTTGCCCTGTTGAACCTCTGCTCCAGTCGCAGATCAGACTCAGGACCTGAGGGAGAAACGTTCTTGATCAACTCCAGCATCGGATATCTCCTGTCACCTGAGAAGCTCCACCATCTGGCTTTTCCTGCCTCATCTGGTGTTCTGCGGTGGGATCATGGTTCGTAGACACAGATGATATATTAACACAAATAACAAAGTTCAGTGTATTATGTATGAAACTTGTTTATCCCAATCCAAACTAAAATGGACTTCTTAATATACGTCTTATCCTTTTAAATAACTTTGCACTTTTTAAAAAACTGTAACACATGGAGCACAAACGATAAAAGTGACTAAACATGATAGATACCAAAATTCAACTCTTTGCAGATGATTGAAGTGGAGAAGTTTGGTATCGATTTATAATAGATGTTTGTTTGCTTTTTCTTGTGTTTCATTTTTTACTGAATTAGAAAATTCGACTCATAGCTGCCACATCGTGGTGGAGCCGGTGTCTCGTGGTCAGAGGTTTCTGCAGGACTCTGCAGAGGTGTACCTAAAAGGAGTGCTGCAGGGCTGGGATGCTTCATTGCTGACACAAACGTCCACAGAGTCGTGGGTGCTGCAGAACAACGAAGCTGCTGCCTTCTCTCATCTGCTCAGGCAGCTGTCTGCCCTTTCTCTTCATATGGTGAGAGGCCGACAAGAAGCACCACATGTTGTTTTTTTTGCATGTTCTGTGACATTCATGCTCCCAGGGGTAAAGGCATTTTGGTGCTGTTGAATTGAACCATAATCAGGACTCTATCCACCAAAAATCCAACTTGGTTTTTGTGTTATGCATATTTTTCCACTATATATATGCATGAGTTTTTAAAGCCCTGTCCAGACATTCGCAGTGCTTTTCATATGAGGAGGAATATTTAAAACTTTAGTTTTAGAAATGAAAGGCATGGAAATGGTTTGTGTTAATCATTTTGGTTTCCCTGCTTTTTACAGCAGATACTTTACTACAAAAAACACGGCAGTTTTCATCCAATAAATGGTACCTACCAGAGAAAGACGAGTAAATGGGCCGGATGAATGTTTGACCAACGTTAGCATTTTGTCTTGGTGTTGGCTGACGCGAGCATGTGTCGGCTGATTCAGCAGCCATGCCTTAAAATCATGTGAAGGGGATGACTTGCTGCTCCCTCTGTTAGCTTTCTATTGTTAATGTTTTGGTTAATATCCTAGTCAAGGTTTCTTTTATGTTCAGATTAAAACTTGTTTAACATTTATCATTTTACGTGTTTTGTAGGTGTCATGATCTTGATGACAGACAATTTGCACAGGAATTGTAATTTCTATCATGTAAATACAGGAATAGAAAGCTATATCAGCCCCAAAAATTCCCTCCCCGATCTGCACTGGTAGCACAATCTGTACCATCAGCTTATTTGCACACCTCAAAGAAAATATTCATCCAGATTGACATAAATAATGTAATAATGCTACTCAAAGTCCTTATTATATCTTTAAATTATAAAAAGAAAAAGCTAAACTATCATATTAATGACTTTTCTGATAGAATTTGATGCATTTTACATTCTCTCTGACATTATTGGACTGCTCGGAGCATTCGGCGAAATACGATTCGTCTTCATTTCAGTTTTATCTCTTTAGATTATGCACCATATACTAAAAAAAGTTCACCGAGAAGGCAAACACAGAACGACTACGGTACATTTATAAGAAAAAAACTAGGAGGAAGTAGAGTAGGATTGCACCTCTGGTAAAGACCGGGTACAAACGAGTGATATAACAGAAATGGTGTAAACGCATTTATTCTCTCAGAAAATAAATTAAACTTTTGCAAATTGTAGTTTAGTACGCTAATTATAAGTAGGGAAAAAAAGGAATTTGCTATCCATTTATAAAGCAGAAACAAGGACGACTTTGATGTATTTCTGGTTGTGCAAATTAGCTGATATAATCTGACGTAATGTTTTCTAAGTATCTGGTCCAAACATAAATCAAACTCATACTATATAGAAACAGACTTGATAAAATGTTTTCATCACAAAGTTCACAATTAGATTCAAAGATGTGTGTCAATAAAAGGTTTTTATTTCCATTTAAAAGCTGTAGTTCAATACAAAAAAAAGAGATCAGTCTTGTTTCATCGATCGGGTGACAGTTGTTTACTTTTGACATACACAAACATTCGTACACAAAACTTTATTATTCCATCCATCCATTTTCCGTCACGCTTTATGGGAGCTGTGGTTACCAGCGGTGCTGGTGCCTATCTCCAGCCATCTATGGGCAAGAAGCGAGGTACACCCTGGACAGGTTGCCAGTCAATTCCATCAAACTCAAAATGATGCACAATGCATCCTCGGAAAGTAGGATTATAGCAAGACAACACATCTGTTCACTATGATGGCCATAAACAATAAGCAGATGTTGTTTTATAGTCGAAAGGGCGAAACTGTGGTTGGAAAATTTAGATTTCTATTAATTTCTTTTTCATATATTGATATATGCCATTTATTCTCTTAAGAAAATGTTTTTAACTCTGTTTCAAGGCCAAAAAATTTCTGAGTGAGGGATGGTTGTAGACAAGACATACTTATTCCCATAACACGCTCAATTCTTTCTCTAGGTTTGTTCATTGTTTAACCAAAGTGAATGTAATTTGGTTTGACTCTGACTCAACCTTCACAGCTTTTTCATCATCATAAGTAAGGGAGACGAACTCTTTCTAGCTCAGAACAGGGCAGACCATCGTGTGGGTGTGACGTTGGGAATGTCTTGTTCTCAATTTACGTTGAAAAGTAAACAAAGTGCCGACTGAGTAAAATCCATCAAACTCATTTATTTAACTGGAGTGTAGAGTTGAAAACTTTTTTTCTCAGAACGAAGCTTATTGAAAGTCTTCTGTAACCAGCAGATCATATTTTTATAGCTTAATTTCAGTGGTTTATTTTTATAAAGTCTATAGTATAGTATAGTCCAAACCCTAGAGGAAAGCAGCCCCATGCTCTTTGTTATTTTGTTTTTTTCATCTAACCCATGTTACTCAGTTGGGACAATGAACATGTTTTAGAACAGAAATGAAAAATGTATGAATCGAATAATGAATGAACATTTCCTTACTGACCTGTGATCCTTTTCTTCCTTCCTCTGTCCTCACAGCTTGCTGAAGTCAGTCAGAAAGGCTTGCTGTGCTCAGCTGTCTTCTCTCCGCTGTCCCAGTCCACGGCTCTTCTCACCGTTCTCCAGCCAAACATCTTACAGCACGACCAGCTGATGAGCACAGATATCATCGTCTCAGACCAAACCTCTGCTGATCTGCCAGATGTGGTGAATAGTGTCCTGGGTGTAATCTATGACATCATGAATCAGGACGGCGAAGGGCCCAAAGGTGGGAACCAAATAAAACTAAACTCATTACATTAATATTCTGGTGAAGATTCCTAGTCATCCAGGTCATAGTTATTCTAAAAAAAAGTTAAAAATCTATCCACTGGACTTTGTTTCCAATTTGAATTTTAAACCTGGAAACCAAGTCCAGTGGATTGATTTTAAAGCATTTTTGGAATCATTACGTAATTTTACAGATAAGGGGGGAACATTGACATGTTTCAAGTTATGGAGATGGAATTTCAAAAGAAAAGCAGAATTAATAAATATCCTCTATAATCTAATCCAATCTGTCAGTTAGAGCCTCGGTCCTTGCACCATCCCAGGTCGCACATCACTTTTCATACCGTTTATTGTTAATATGCTGAGAAGACGTGTTGTGTTGTGAACAGGTGAATTGCAAAGCTGGACACGCCAGAAAACCTGCGAAATGGTAAATAGGAGATGAGGCGGATCTGCTCATGCGCTCTTTATCAGAGAACTGAGCCACAGATGAACCGTGCCGAGTCCTACTGTAGAATTAGTTCTAGATTTAGCACGGGTCGGTTGTGTTGTGCTCCATTTACACTCAAGAGTTATCTTTCTTACCGTGCTCTGACCTTTCTCAGCACCGTTTCACAAGGCTGGTGTAAATGGTGCTACTGTCTTTGTTTACAGTACATGTTTACTGTTTCCATCAGCAGCGTCTGCTAACTTATTTACTGTTTGCTTTAGTTACAGATTGAATTGAGATCAAATTCCCAGAAGGCGTGATTGAAATAAGTCCATTTATTCATTGTAATTTCTGCCACATGTTAATAAATTGAAGGAAGAAAAATATGAATGATGCATTTTTCCTTCTTCTAGCCTTCAAGACTGAGTTTTTAGATTTGATGTTTTGCATTGCATTTAGTTAGATATAAACTTTGATTTGAAACTTTGATTTTGGCACTTTAGTATGATTTCCTGTTCCTCAGCTCATATCACCATTTTTTTTTTCTTCCCCTGGGAAACGATCGGTGGGAAACCTGCAGAGAAGTCTGGTTTTATTTATTGTATTTATGAAATAAAATGTTTTGTATGCATAGAGATAAATGCAGCGACATGTTTTTAATGTTTTGAGAGATTTAAGTACATAACTTTGCTGTTGTCTGTTTTAAAGATGAGGTGAAGGATTCTCAGGCGCCAGAGTGGGTTCTACAGGAACTCAGCTACAGGCCCAAAACAACCAACATGCTGGAGACCTGGTTCCCCCAGTCGGATCAGTCAGGAGTGAGCGCCACTTTAATGGAGTCAATAAGGTACAGGAGCGACACTCTTCTGTTTGTATTTGGTCAAGCTTGTACAAATTTGACAAAGATCGTTTGAAAAAGGAGAAACGGATAAAATAATATTTTTTTTTTTTTACTGCATTTCTAGCTGTGTAGATGACTTGTCTCCTTATGATGGTAAATCACTATCCATTACAGAGCAAATTAACCCTTTATAGGCCACTCAGTGAAATACTTTGATAATAATTTCAAGCCAATAGTTTTATTACCTTATTACCTTTGTAACATTAAAAAAATATGGATATTTTGATGTAAAAAATGAATGTTAATGAAATAACAAGAAATGCCAACATACCCGAATATATTAATAAAAATAACAAAAGTACTTCTATAAGAAATTCATGAAAGAAACAAATTTTTTTGGTACAACATCACCTTTATAACCCTAAATATAATTGTTAAATAGGCTTATTAATTTTTTTACTTTACTTTTAACATTTCAATTAGCTTACTACCTTTTTTTTCTTGACATGTTTACTTTTTTTCCCCCCAACTTAATTTCCAGTAGGTAATCTATCATTCAAGGGCTCATCTAATTGGTCAAAGGCCAAAATAAGATGTGCAGCCATGTAGAAGTATCTTTGCTGAATGGCTGGATATAGATCTTGTCCTTCTAGACCTCACTGAGGGACGTGGGGGGGGACTCCATCTGTAAGGGGTATGCAAGTGATCAAAACTGTAACTTGCCGTATAAAGGGTTAACCACACTTGGTCAGAAGAATATAAGTGCAAATAAAAACAGACTTGATTTGCTGAGGTTATGTTGGCACAAAGAGAACCAGGTGTTTGTGATTAAAAAGGTAAAGCAAACGTCTTCTAACATGTCGTGTTTGCAGATTGCTTCATGCGGCGCCGGATCAACATGCAGATGATGATCTTTCTGAGGCTCATCAGGATCTAGTCAGCGCTCTGTCTGAACTGTACCAGGGATCCCAGGAGACATTCAGCAAGAGGGCCAAGAAACGTGCGTAGATTTTCCCTGTCTTTTTTTATCTGGTAGTTTAAACTCCCTACATCTTCGCAGAGCTTTTTATTTTTCAGATTATTCTTCTTAATGCCTTGATATGTGATTTTTATTCCACTTCCTGTCTAGTAGGAGGTGCCCATCGTACTCCTGTGAAGCAGAAAATGAAGACAATGAGTCGCTCTTTGCAAATGCTGAATGTGGCGCGCCTGAATGTCAAAGCGCAGAAAACTGAGAGTGAGCCGGCGGGGAGTGAGAGCAGGGGTGCCGACAGACCAGGGAAAAAACGAAACAGTGACAGAAACAAACCCGGAGGAGCAGCTGCTCTCAGTAAGGCTCTCTGTTTACAGTTGGTCTGGTCGCTGTTATACATTTTATCGCATAAACGTTCAGGAGATAAATCTCATACCTCAAGAGGAGGACTTTTGGTCCTTGAGGGGTTGGTCTCCTGACTTTCACAGCAAAGCTCTGTTAAACTGGACTGAATGAACTGGACTGGTTTAGTTGAAGTTTTATGGCGGACTCTGATTTGGACGCTATTTAGTGTTTCTTGTTTTTCGGTTCTCAGGTTTCTCCAGTGAGGAAGAGCTGCTGTGTCATCTGAAGGCCAGCTATGACAAGACTGTAGCAGAGGGAACCTCATCTCTACTGAATGTACAACAGCTGCTATACGCTGTCAAAACCTTCCTGGGTGCTGAATCAGACTGGGAGGTGAGAGAAAATGCTATATTTTCTTTTTTGTGCTTAAAGAATTCACCTTATCTTATTTGTTGCAGCTTAGATTTCTGTTTGTGTGATTCTGTTTATGGTTAACATGCTTTTCAGTTTCACTGTTTCAAAAACAGACACTTTGGAAATGTGTACATTAAACAGGCAATTGAACGTTAAATAAACATTTATTTTAGATATGAATAAGGCTGGAACAATTAATCGATTATTTAAATAATTGTCAACTTATTTAGTAATTAAGAGTCTAAAACATGCGTTTAGCTGACAGAGTGTTAGAGCAGGAATTATACCAGGATTGTAAAAAAATATTTAAACATTTTGCATTTAAGTTGAAAGAATTACTTCTGCCAATCTGCTCTATCCAGAACCCCTCAAGTGGAAAAATTTCAGTTGCTCCTGGTTTAATTTCATAAAAAAATCTTCTTAAAGGAACCTTTGGCTATCTCATTATTAATTGATTAATCGGAAAAAATAATGGATAGATTAATCGATTAGCAAAATAATCTTTATTTGCAGCCCTAGATATGAAAGTGACACAAACTCTTGCTATGAATTACCATCTTTCTCTTCATATAAGCCAAGATATAGACTGAAAAGAAGGATTCTAATATGCGAATGCAGCTTCTGGGTGAATGATTTCTATATGGCGGCGTGTCCAATAGCAGCTAATCGGTCGGCCAGAGCGAAGCTGGTATAGGTCCAGACTAGAGACTGACATTTTTTCGGGAATCCCACAGGTCACGGGATTCCCGTGGGATTCCCGTGGGATGGGAGTCAGTATTAGTAACGATCACGTGATTGGGACGGTACAGGATTAAACATTAACGGGAGCAGACGGGAACGGGAGCAAACAAATAGTAACAAAAAAAAAACTAGGATCGATGCTAAAAAATAAAATAAAATAGAAAGAAAAAAAATCCAGTACTGGCGCTGCCATTTGGTAGTTTTTTTCCTTGAAGCCTACACTATAATGCGAGTCAAAAAAACTACACGACCCAAAAACCAACAGTGCTTCCGCTCTGAGTTTTTCACCCACGCTCAAAAACAACAAGAATGGGAGTGGTGCAGGAGCGGGAGTCATTCTGAATGGGAGCGGGATGGGAGTGGGAGTAATTTCACCAGGAGTGGGACGGGACAGGATTTACCGTATTTTCACGACTATAAGGCGCACTTAAACGTCTTTTTTTTCCCTCAAAATGTGCGGTGCGCCCTATGGTGCGGTGCGCCCTATGGTGCGGTGCGCCCTATGTGTGTTGTAACTGCGACTTTTGAGACCACCTCATTGAGGAGATGATGAAAGAGTGGCTGAATGTAAGGAGACCAGGTGTTTTTTTTTTCCACTCATCACCATCGCTGTTAATATGTAACTCCATGCGTGCCCATCTCACAGCTGATGTGAAAAACATGGGGAAACAAATTAACCCTGTGCTCGCTGTTCAACCGCTCGACATCGGTGTGAACCGGACCCAGCAGGTGCAGCAGAAGCAGCGAGTTTACATGCAAAGTCAATGGTTGACGCGTGTATAGGTGCAGCAAAAGGTCCTGCAGCGCGTTTTGAGCAGCAGGAGCGTTTAAGCATCTGCCAACGCGCTGCTGCTGCTCGAGATGGAAAAATTGAAGTTTTGCTGCTGGACGCGCCGCATCAACCAATCAGAGAAGCAGATCTGGGAGCTGACAGCGAGACAGACACAGCGCTCTGATGACATATGATATTAACGCAAATGGAAAAGGCTGGATGGATGAGGAGATGATGAAAGCGTGGCTGAGGGAGGTGTAGCCTATGTGAGGAGACCAGGTGGTTTTTTCCACGCATCACCATCGCTGCGTGCCCATCTCACAGCCGATGTGAAAAAAAAGGTGAATCAAATGGATACTGTGCTCGCCGTTATCCCGGGGGGTGTGACAAAGGAGCTTCAACCGCTCGACATCGGTGTGAAGCGGCCGTTCAAAGTAAGGCTGCGAGCGGCGTGGGAGCGATGGATGACCGACGGAGACCACAGTTTCAGGAAAAGTGGAAGGCAGCGCCTGGCAAGTTACGCCACCGTTTGCGGATGGATTGTAGATGCTTGGACTAACGTGTCTGCTGGCTCTGTTGTTCAAGCTTTCGCAAAAGCCGGCATCATTTCCAAGGAGCCGCCCGGCACGGAAAGTGACTCTGACAGCGAAGAAGAAGGGGAAACTGGCATGTCGGATTTAGCGCAGCTGTTTAATTCAGAAACAGAGGATGAGGACTTTGATGGGTTTGATTAATACTCTGTAATAAATACTTGAATAAAGCACAATCATACTCAGTTTTGCTCCCGCTCTATTTTTCTACCTGAAAACTTACTTCAACAGCAGCCTCTGGGCCGCGGCGCATCCGGGCTCACCTCCGCAGTTGTTTTTTCATCTAAATAATCTAAATTTTTTTAAGTGAGAAAGTCCACCTGAAAATTTAATCATTGCAGTCAGTTCATCCAGATTATTATCCTGCCTATGTTTTAAGTTAATTTATGCGTCAATAAACTGTATCAGAGGAGTAATCACAGCCCTGTGTCATCAGAGATGTGTCTCTCACGGCCGGTTCCCAGGTTTGAATAATACTTTGTAATAAATACACCTTGCAGCTTTATTTGCTGTGATCAGTGGGAATAAAGTAGTTTTAATATGTTTTTAAGTGGGAAAATCCACCTAAGAGGACATGTACCTGTATATAAAAAACGCGCCCTATAGTCCGGTGCGCCTTATGTGTGTGTTAAATACAGAAATGGCACACATAACTGAGACTGCGCTTTTAGTCCGGTGCGCCTTATGGTCGTGAAAATACGGTAGATTTCTACTCTGGATCGGGACGGGACACCATTTTTTTTTCTGTGGGAGTGGGACGGGACAGGAGTGAAAATCCACTCCCGTGTCTGTCTCTAGTCCAGAGGGAGGCAACATTTGACAAATGTTTAAAAATCTGAACTTTTTTTAATTGCCGTCTGAACTGCAATATAATCTTAATTGAATAAAACCAAATTTCCAAATTGCAGAGGCACTGATTTTTAATCCCGATATAATTAATTGTTAAATGGCCAGCAATTATATAGCACTTTTTCAAGTCAGGAGACTTGACCAAAGCACTTTACACTACATTCAGTCCTTCACCCATTCACGCATGGTGGCAAGCTACATTGTAGCCACAGCTGCCATGGGGCTCACGGACAGAAACGAGGCTGCCGTACACTGGCACCACTGGGCCCTCTGACCATCATTAGTAGACGGGTGAAGTGTCTTGCCGAAGGACAAAACGACAATGAAAGCCTAAGGCTGGGGTGGAGGAATCAACCCTTCGATTTCAGGGATAAGTCTTACACCCGACGAAGAGTAAGACACTAAATTTCCTCCTCCAGGCTTTTAGGTGGTTATTAAATGCTTGAGGTGGATTTGTTGCCACATAGAAAGGTAGAAAGATTTGCAGCTAGCAAACTGATTCACAAATGCAAGCAGAAGTAAAAACTTACACTAAAGGCCTCCCAGGACAAGCAAGCTTTCGAAAACTGAAAGCCCGGAGGTGAAACATCCACAAGCTTGGGGTTAGTGCAAAGAAAAATTGGAATAAAATCACACTCGCAATTTTGGGTAAAATATTCGCAATTTAGATTTTGCATAATCGTTCAGCCTAGTCTCAACCAATTATCAGCTGAATGTGGTTTGGATGTAGGGTGAAGCAGTACAGTGGAGGCAAAGCCTTTTGTAAACCTCCCTGGAAGGCGAGGAGTCTCCCTGCAGCAGCAGATCCTGGGTTCTGTACAGATGGACGTACGGCTGGGATCAATTATCCAGGAGCAGCTGCTGGCACTGGCTTTACTGGGTGTTGATCTGGTGTATTCAGAGAAAGATGGTGTTGAGGATGGGTTCAGAGCAGCAGGAAATGAAAAACAGAAGCTCCTCTTTTTTATTTCGTACTGAAGGAAGCTGGACAGTTACCATCGGTATGGCAAGCCCATTTATAACATAATCGCTAGACTGGGTATCCAAAGTAGCAACAAAGGTTTCCCTTGTTAAAACTCTTATTTCAGTGAGCTGTAATAAGATTACAGAGATCTGTAACTGCAGATTTGCTCAGAATGATGTCATAGATATCTATGATCAGTTAAACTGATTCAATGTTAAATAGCTTCCCATACAGGGGGGTTATTGCGACAGGGAGCAGAAATGCCAGGAGGTTTCATTAAAGCTCGCTGGTTTAATCATCGCTGATGAATGTTCTTTGATCTTATGTGGACCCGCTGGAAGTTCATTACCTTTCAGAACATTTTCCAGATGTTGCTGTGTTTTAATTAGTTTAAACCAGAGTCTAACATGTTGTTTGAAGAGGGGATCACAGGTTTTGGATTGGTGGTGGCTCGGTTGGGTTGGCAGCGTGCTGCGGCGGCTGGGCATGAAGGCTGGCGGTCAGTGTTGGAGCCCTGTGTGCGGTGCTGCTGGTTCTGGATAGCAGGCTGTGCGGCGCTGCTGAGCCTGGACAGGAAAGGCGGTCCATCAGTTATCCGATCGCAGCGAGCGGTCCAAGCACCAGATGGGAAACGTCGCCCTCCGGATGTGGTTTGTACCCGGTTCGGCTCATGGCTGCGGGCCGGTGGGGTTCGAGCTGTGCTAACTGACTGTTATCCATCGCGGTTCTTGTTGTTCTGGAGCCCAGTCCATTATGATATGGAAATCCGTCTGGAGATGCAGCTATACTAAACTGTGCAACTCGCTAGTGTTCATTGTTTTATGAAATTAAATATCTCAGAAAAAAATAAACTTTGGCCATCAGGTACTTAATATAAGTTGCAACGGCTTGTTTGTTCTGTTGTATAGTTTTAATAAAGTACCTGATGGCCAAAGTTAATTTTTTTCTGAGATATTTTATTTCATAAAACAATTAACCCTAGCGAGTTGCACAGTTGAATCCAACTGATGTTGTGAGAGAATGTTTAACTACACTGACGTCATGGCTGTGATTCGTCACCTGACTGCTCTGGAGGCGCCCAGCATACTGTAAAAGCCTTTAGATTTTTATTACTTGGAGCATTTTAAGCATAATTTAGACAGGCCACATAGAGAAAAGAAAAGATCATCTACCATCACACACCATAAATCTGCTCTAGGCGCGCTCCTTTCTGTTTGAAATTTAAGAGGCAATCCAGAAATCAGGGAAGGATGTTTACCGTAAAACAAATATATAAAAGCACTGCACATTTTTACACAGTCAGTTAAAAAAAACTAATGGAAATAGGAAAGAAATTTGATCTCATATCTGCTTGGCTTATTCAGCCAAAATTATTGTTAAATTCAAACAGTCTTTATTATTTAAACCTTTATTTATTATTCTGGCCTTTAATATAAACCTACTAAAGTTATCTTTAAGCTACATCGAAGCTGAAAAATAAACATAAATATATACAGGATGTTTGGAAATTTATCCTAGTTGATCATTATATCATTTTATACATATTCTTTAATTCTTGCCTTTATATTAAAAAACAAATATTTATATTTCCACTTTGACCCTTAGTTATGTTTCTACCATTTGATTATGTGTGTTGTTAGAAGTTAAAATATGAAAAAGAGGTGACAGACCACGGTCGAATGTAGCAGAAGAGTTGGAATCAACTAGCTTTTGTCTAATCTGTAGGAAAAGGCCGTTTCAATTGTTCATCAGCACCTCATGAAGAACTGCAAATCAATCCGTCAGCTCTACAGAGGGGCTGAGGATGCTGAGAACAAAGTCACAGAGTGAGTCATTCTTGCAGTTTCCTTCTTTTGATCTCATATATGGATCATTCTAACTTAAAATAACTCAGACTTTCTAATCTAGGTGCAAACTGCAGGTGATGTTACGGCTGGAGCTGTGCAGGCGTTTCTGCTCTCGGCTGCCTGACTCGCTGGATGCAGATCAAATAGCAGAGGAGGTGAGAGGATCAACATAGTTTAGTAAATTTAATTTTGGGAAAACGTTCCTATTTCTCTAAAGTGAAGTTGTATTATTCTGTCTGTGTTAGGCAGCTGAATTACTCCGGATAATCTCATTAACTAAAGACCCAGTGTGCCTAGCGAGGTTCCTTCAAGATGAAGTCCTCCCAGGGTGAGTGTCCCTCTGCAGAAATACTGTTTCTTTGAGTTGAGTTATGATGTGGCCAGTTTTTAACCTACATGTGGATCTCAATAGGCTAGAGTATAAAATTAATTTAAGTTTAGTTTAATAGGGCTGCAAAATAAGTGATCCCTGTGAAATCTGCGTGTGCAGTGTCCGTATTGTTTTAATGTGCTAATTCATTGCAAATTTTAGGCACTTTTTGTGTGTGTGTTTTTTTTTTTTTTTTATCCGTTTCCGGATCGAAACGGAGGTGGATGGCTGTCTGCTGAATATGTTAGCTTAGCTCTCTTGATTACATAAGCCATAAAAAAACATTTATGGTTTTATTTAAATTCTCAGAAACAGAATTTGGTGGTTTTTTTCTTTAGCAGCAAGCCAATAACATCAAATTAATTGAAACAAATTATTGACATTCTGGTTGTTCTGAATCCATTTGCTTTTTTTTTTTTTGTCCTTACTCATAATTTAATAAAGGAAACCTGTTTTTATTTTAGTTTCCCTTCTTGTTTCTGACATTGTTAAAGGATAAGAGGCAACATACATTTTTCCAAGAACTCAAAGGCATGTTGTTCCTCCACCATGACAGGTTCCTGACTGCTGTTCCTAAAGTGCTTGCAGACATCTACAGCAGCCTGGGCACTCAGCTTCCCGATGCTTTAGTGGCTGTCCTGCCTGCTGACTTCTTCAGTGACGACTCTGTCGCCAAGGACAGTATTTCTCCTTCTGCTTCCTCGCCTCCCGTCTCCACACAGAGCCTCGCTTCCGAGGAGGGTTTACACCAACTGCGAAATCGTTCAGCCAACAAGCGGAGGTGAGTTTCCCAAACTGTTTTAAAAGCATCAGAGATTATGATAGGTTTAACATGGATTCACATTTTGAACAATTAGATGAGACTTTGAGGTAAAATCCAAATAATAACCTTTTTTAGATTTTTTTTTTTTTTTTTTTTTTTTTGTAATTAACATTTATTAGAGCTTTAGGAATATTTTTTTGGGTTTTTTTGTATCGCTGATATTCGATAACTCCTCTGAATTTCTGTCCAGGAGTGGGATGTTGACTCGACATCGCAGTTTGACTGAATCCTCCCAGAGTCTTCGTCAAATCCAGCTGCCCAAAAAGATCACAAGAGCAGTGAGTTCATGTGTTTGTCTCTCTAGAACTTCATCCAGTTTTTAGCATCCAAGTATGATTTATTTATTTAATATTAATCAACCACTTCCAGTATTATGCTGGTACTAGTTTGTTTTTTTGGATCAGTGCTTTGAGGTTACTGCCTTTCTGTTTTTGCTGCCCATTTTGGCACCTTTAGACTGCTGCTGTATTGGATGCAGCAGGGGGCAGGTTCATAGAGACCACCTACCAATCAGATTATGCTCTCTAAGGCAGGCATTTCCTAAAGTCGTTGAGGGCTTCTGTCCTGAAGGTTTTAGAGGTTTCTAAGCTTCAGCTCAGCTGATTCTGACAATTAAAGTTCAGCAAAGACCTGTTGATCCATTGTAAATGGCACTAATCCTCTTTTCTCATCAGCTGTCTTCCTTTTTTCCCTATGGAATCCATGGTCCGAGTTTGCCTGCCACCGCACCGCGCTGGTTTCAAGTTATGACCACTGATCTCTATGGCTATGATGCAAATTATTTTTTAAATTTATTTTTAATACAAATGTTTTCAGCATTGGAAAATTGACCTCCTGCACACCATATTAAAACAAACACAAAAAGTTTTTTTTTTCATTCATTTTTGAAAAAGCTCCAGGGAGCCGCAAGGGGGGCACTAAAGAGCTGCGGGTAGCCGACCCCCGATTTAGGTGTTAATTAACTGGTTGATGTGACGAATTGAACAACAAAAGTAACATTTTTCCAACTCCAGCATCTGCTGCATGTGAAGCTCATGAGGCGATGCTCCTGCTCCTTTAGACCCACTACAGGACCTTTAGATGCATCTTGATGCGCTTCAACCATGGACTTTGCATGTAAACCGGCTGCTTCTACTGCTCAACGCGTGTCTGTTGTAAACGTAGCATCAGTTGTTGGTATTAGTTAGCGTCTGCTGTTTCAGAAAATATTAGCAATCATTTAACCTACCTTGGTGTGGAAGTAACAGATCAATGGTTAAACGTGACCAAACGTTACTGTCAAGTTGAACGCCATCATTATGGCACTAACCTCATAGGTTAAAGTGAATCTTCGTACATGCTTCCTACATTGCACTGTGCAATGAAAGGTTTCATTACAGGTTTCCGCGGGTCATTAAAAAAATCATTAAATCATTAAGTAATTATTGTTTAAATGAATTGCCTTAATTGATATTAAGATTAAAGAAATGTGATTATCGTGGCATTTACAATGCTTTATTAAAAAAAATTAACATTTTTAAAAACAACTTCATGGGATATATTATATCAGATATAAGTGGTTTTCCAGAGGGAAATTTACTTCTTCCAGTTGATCGTAAAGCTGTATGTTCGGAAAAGAAGCTCATGTTGGAGAAAAAGGTATAGAGAATGGGGGAAAATGCAAATGCAATATATATATATATATATATATATATATATATATATATTTTTTTATTTATATATTTATTTTATCTTTTTCCCTGAGACATTAAAGATGGTAGACCTGACTGATTGTTGACCTCTAGGGGGCTCCAGTGAGTTTTCAGAGCTTATATATAAGGCTTTAAAAAATGTCACACATTTTCTGAAGAGCTTGAAAGGTTCAAAAAAGCCTAATTTTACGATCTCTAGATATTAAGGGCTGCAGGGAGAATTTTAGTGTCTTACTCTTGTTATAATCACAATAAATTGTGATTAAAAATCAGTTTGAAAACTGGGTTTTTTTAATTGTGATTCTGTTGCAAATGCAATTAAATACCCAGCTTTAGAGTTAAACTGTCTCCCGTATTTCGGATAATTTACCCCAAAATGAAAACAAGCTAGAAAACCAAAAATTCCCTTGATTGGATCTTTACTGTAACATCAAGTTGAAATGGATGATGTGTCTGACAGCCATTACTTCTGGATGACATTAGCGTTTGTTTTCTTGTATAGGTATCAGCAGATACATACATTACGTTTGCAGATTCATCAGTGTAATCAGAAGCCATACTTTGAAGATGAAGCACTTAAACCACCGCTCCTTCTCTTTGCCACAGCGCTATTTATCTTTTGTTTTGTTTAGTGATTTGTTTTTCTTTTGTTTCTTTTGTTTTTCTCTCAGAGCAAAACAAAGATCTCTACTGCTTTGGAGAAACCTGTAGAAATACAGCAACCTCAGAAACAGCAAACCCAAGGTATGTGTCGGTAGATTTTTAAAGACTGGACTAATGGATGTAAAGGAAATTACTGTTTTATCAGTGTTTCACACAAATTTTTTATTTAAATCCACAAAAAGCTTCCCAAGAAGTTTAGAATAAGCTTCAGCAGATGCTCTATTTCAGCGTCTAGTGCAGGGGTGGGCCATTCCAGTTCCTGGGGGACAGTATCCTGAAACTTTTAAATGTGCCTTTGATTCAACACACCTGAATCAAGTAATTAGATGATTGAGAGGAGCCTGGAGGAACTGACTGAATACTAAGGAGACGAAAGACACACCTGAATCATGTGTGTTACACCAAGGGTGAATCTAAACAGTACAGGATACTGGAACCTCAGGATACTGGAACCTCAGGAACTGGAACCTCAGGAACTGGAATTGCCCACCCCTGACTTTGGTCTTCATCTAAAAAGCAAGACCAAAGCTGCTAACTTTGGATAGTCGTGTTGTTTTGGCCGTGAGCTCCTTGGTTACTAAAACATGACTCGATCACCTCACAATCTCTTTACCTGCTCTACGGAGCTGGAATAGATTATGCTTTGATAATTAGCTAAAACATGTAGCCCAGACAGGAGTTGGTAATATGTAAATCACATACAAACATTGTGCAACTCTCCTACCCACAAATCCTCTGAATAAATTCTCTCAATTCACAGAAGTAACCAAAGTACGAAGAAACCTGTTCAACCAAGAAGTTGTTTCCCCTTCGAAGAAAAGAAAGCTGCCGAGGAGCCAGTCTGTGTCTGCAGTGGAGGGACTGAAACGCCAGCGTCCTCCTGAGTGTGAAGGTAAGGATGTACAATGTTTAATGGCGCTTTTGAACCAAGTTGATCATATTTTTTTTTTACTTATTAAAAGTAATGTATTAACATTTCAGAAAAGCATAAACTTCTAACAAAGAAGGTGTGTGAGACGCCTCTGCATAAGCAGGTATCCAGTCGCCTCTTACAACGGCAGAAAATAGGAAGGTACGTTTCTGGTATTTTATAACATGCAATAACTGAAGCTCTTTATGAATGACAGCATTTGATTCAATTCATGCTCTTTTCACAGGAAATCTGACCCAACTGAGGAGTGCATAGTAGAAGAATCACCAGTAAAACCAGCCGAAGGTATTTCTCCTCCCTTTTTGTTCTAAAGCTGCTGAAAGTCTTGCTTTTTTTCTTTCAGCTTGAATTAGTCAGATTTGAATATTTGTTTCTCTTCACAATTTCTTTAAGCTTTTTTAACTTTGACTCAGCCTAATCACCAAAAGGATTATGAATTTTGAGCCCTTTAAAGTTCTCAATCTGCTCAGCGTGTGCTCTGTGAAGGATTCACCATCTAAAGACTCTGGAAAGTTTGGCTCTCTGTAAAAATCCTTCTCTGTCGGAGAGGAACCTCCAAGGTTTAACCTCACTAATGATCAGGGATCTGGATCTCCTCTGAAACAGAGAGCCTCGATGTAAGTGGGTGAACCTCCTCTGTAGGACAGCTGGACGCAACTTCAAACGTGAGCTGAGGAGTTTAGGCCTTCTTGGATCCTACATTTTGGAGGTTTTCTGGAAACGTCCCTCTAGGAAGAGACTCATCTGAAGACCCAGAACCAACAGTGTACTATATTTCCTGTCTGGCCTAGGAACCCCTCAGAATTTCACAGAATTAACTGGAGGATGTCAGGGGTTCCCCTCTGAACCCTAATGTTCCTTTCTTGGATTAGCAGAAGACAAGAGAACAGCATTCTTTCATGAATTGTCTAGATTTAGATGCTGTCCCCTAAATTTTACATTGATTCCTTTCTTGTGTATCTAAAGCTTTAGCTGAGTTAACAGAGAACAGCTCATCCTCACACTGAGGAGACTTCTACTAAAAGAGATAATTATTTCCAGTAAAATGTTTGTATTAGGGCTGCAACTATAATGTTGCACCCCTAATGAATTAGATTAATCCAATTCAATTTATTTCTATAGCGCTAATTCACAACACATGTCATCTCAAGGCATTTTACAGTTCAACCAGATCATCCAGTCAAATTGATTCAAAGTTTTCTATCCAAGGAAAACCAGCTGATTGCATCGACTTATTGACACCTCACCAATCCCTCAAACTAAGCATGCTTGACAGAAGCAGAGATACAAAAGGCAGCTGTAAAAGGTGGCCTCGTCCAGGAAACACACAGCCAGGCAGACGAACTCCGAGCCAGCTCCATGTCAGAGGATGAAGAGAGCACATCCAGTTAGTCACAGTCAGAGAAACAGGCCGATGTCAAACATCTATAAACAAAGGTGTTGATGGCAGCAGCACAGCTGATATTTCTCTCCAGGATGGAGTCACAGCCAAACAGGAACAGACCAGATGAAGCTACTATGAGGAAAAGCAGAGAGAACAGAACGTTAGAGATTGAACTAACAGATTCTGCAGAGTGGGAGAATAGAGATAGAATGATGAAAAGGGGTCCCTATGTCCTCCAGAAGTCTAAGCCTATAGCAGCGTAACTATAGAGATAGCTCAGGATAACCTGAGCCACTCTAACTATAAGCTTTATCAAAAAGGAAAGTTTTAAGCCTAGCCTTAAAAGTAGACAGGGTGTCTGCCTCACGGACTAAAACTGGTAGTTGGTTCCACAGGAGAGGAGCCTGATAACTAAAAGATCTGCCTCCCATTCTACTTTTAGAAATTCTAATTCAGGTAACTTGATTAAAAATGTTAATGGAGTCCCACCAGTAGTTGGTTTCATATTAAAGCACCAATGTATTTGTTTGTGGTTTGCTTTTCCCACAGACCTGAGAAGGAGCCCAAGAATAAAGAAGCTTGCCAGACGACACTCCAGCATCTTCTACTCGAGTTCTCAGCCTCGTTCCAGGAACCTTGAGAGAGCCCTTTCTTCATCTCAGCTGCCGCTCAGCGACAGCAGCAGCTGTGACGTTGATGTGAAGGCGGTCCAGTCTCCTATCCGTCTTCTCTTCGGAGCCGCGGTTTCCCCCGCGGGTTCCAGCGAAACCCAGACCACCAGGGCTCGGCTGTTCACAGACTCCAGTGTTTTTGAGGTCATTTATCCAAATTATCAAAGAATTTTAGCAGGATGTAAAGTAGAAAATGTTCTGAAGCCTTTCTGGTTTTTGTCTATTTCATACTGGTCAGAATGCAGTAACAGATTCCCCTCCAGGCCTGTTATTAAGGGGGCGTTCTAGATCCCATTTGAACCTATCAATCAAAGTTTTCGTTTATGAAGAAATTTTTTTGACTAATCCGATCCTCGTTTATTCATCACTGGGAGTGAAATCAGTCCATCACTTTTTGTTCTTAGACGTCTCCTCATGTTTCACTTCCATTAGTTCCCCCATCTCCTTTAAAGTCATGCTTTCAAGCAATGGATACTGAGCGGTATGGGTCCCTAATCCAGTCAAGCAATTCTGGGAAAGCTGAAGAGAAATAAAATGAAAACTTCTCTAGAGTTTGTAAATGTGTGCCCATGACCTCTAACCTGACTCCACCAGATGGAAACCTTCCGTTGAAGTAATTTTGGGAAGGGGCGAAAATACTGATTAGCTGATTGGCCTATGTTGGTGATAGACGGGCCAAATAAACCAATCAGATCAACGAAGCATATGACGTACTAACAGAGCGACGACGAAAACACAACCACAAGCCAGGCTACTCTTGCCGAAACCAGTCGGGAGAAGAGCAAAAACATCTTTTTCTCTATGAAAAGCCTCCAGAGCAGTGTTTTGCTCTTCTTTCAGTGAAAAAAATACGGAAGCCGCCATGTTCTTTAGACTGAACTGTCGCGCTTCTCTTTGCTTCACACCTCAACCCGCCTCAAAGCCAACGCTGATTGGACGTTCGTTTGGTGAACGGCTCCACATTTTCTTCAACGGAGAGTCTCCAGACTGATCTGCGAGTGAAATCTTGAAAGCTCGTGAGATCAGGATGGTCTCACGAGGCTACATGACCTCGCCCATTACAGCAGTGTTGCCATCTTGCAGTTTCTCTGTGAGCAGGAACATCTGTGTTGCCACACTGCACATGTTGTTTCTAGAGCTGCACCTTTAAATGGAGCCCGTTCATTTTATCAGTGCTTGTAGCAGGTTTTCATTTTGGCCTTACATCCGTGTCTTCAGTTCGTTCAGATAATGAAATATATCAGCCAGGTACGCCAGCTTTACACACCACTCATTACTTGCAAGCAGCTGTGAGTAATCAGACCTGTCGTTTGTTGCCTCTCGCAACTCATACACACGGGCCAGAAATATGCTGCGCGACAACCATCGGATCTGTGTAGAGCAGTAAGATTTTATGTTCCACTCCCATTTCTTCACACAAAGAGGCAAATAAGCAACATCTAAAAGGTCGCTTCTTCACAAAGTTCACAATGCGTAAAATATCATCCAACACAGGCACTTTGGCTTCCTCTTTGGCCACTTCAGGACCAAGCATCTCATTTACAAGCGGGCGGTATTAATGTTTCTGCCACAGTGTGGCAGTGTGGCAACAAGTTTTCTCATCATTTGTACGCAAGCGTGCTAAATAGTCTATCAGCTTGTTTTAAACAGATGGATGTTTGGTTTGTAGATGGCATTTAAGCTTTCTCGGCATCATGTCGCTATTGGATAGCTTCTCACCACACACTCACCATCTTGTCGTCTTTCTTTTGTCGACCACACATACCAGGACCTTCATCTGGGTTGCACTTTTGTCCTGTTCGGCATTTGCATTTCCCATCCCAAAAACGTCTCCATCACCGTCACTTGCTCGTCTTGCTGAGATCCCAAACTGTCACTCTGTTGTCTTTACAGGCATTTATCGCCCTCTGCTTCCACCCACTGCAATATAAGAGTTTTACATTATCTGCCACACTTAATTATAGCACCCGCCAATGGTTAATTAAGTGATATTAGACACACCGCACACCTGACGATCTCTCACAACACACTAGTGTGCAGCTGCACCCTGGTTGAAAATCACTATGCTAAGGTAAAGGGCATTACAACAAAAGAAAAATGTCAGTGGTAAATAATTTGGTAGGTTTGTTATTGAGAAGAAAATTGAAATGAGTTAAAAAAACGTTTTTTAATGGGGTTAGTTCACATTGTAGCCAAAAATACTATGATTTTAATATTTATATATCTTATAATATATAAATATAATATTTTATATCAGTGTTGCGTAACACTTTCTGTGCTTCTGATTCCTTAATATTAATACTACAACTTAGGATTTTGATCAGCTACACAGTATTTCAGAGCATTTACAGGCTGCTTCGAGTAGAGAGGAAGTGTGCTGTGGTTATTAAAGTAAAACTAATGATGAAATGACACGGAGATACACACAGGGTGTGATGCTGAATATTTGTAATAAAATGCGTGACCCTAATTGTGAGGGGAAAGGTTTACAAACAGCCCTGTTCATGGGCTCTATCACTCATTGAAAACTGTTTGATGTAGGGCAGCCAGCATTTTCATTATTATTTAAAATCTTTGTGCACCTTCTGTTGTTGTAAGAGCTCAAAGCCTCCCCAGACCACTTGAAGCTAATTTCAGACATTGTTGAACTTTGCTTTCCCCTCATCTGTTCATGTGCCCCTGGTGCACAAATCATAGGAACACCCCAGTGATGCTATGATCTTCTGCTGTTTATACATTTAAAATTCAGTCCTTATAGATTTACGATTATGGCTTTATAAAGCCAGGGCCGCTCACTTCTACCTGCACGTCTATTTCAATGTTTTATCTTTTTCGATACGTCTATCATTTCCTATCAGAAACAAAGTTATTGGTTGAATTAAAATCATTTCTTTTGCTGTTTTAGTTCTGATTTAAACCATAATTCCTGGTGTATAACTTGTTTTGTGGAACTCATATCATATGTTTGCTTCCTGTTTAGAGTCCGAACAAAACCCCTGCAAAGACGCCCTCCAGACGAGGAAGGAATCTGTCTCCTGTGATTCCAGGGACCCCTCAAACCCCAAACACCCCCAGAACCCCTGCGTCTAAAATGAATGTTTCAGCGGTCGCAGAGAGTCCTGCGTCCACTAAGGCCAGTCCTTTGAAATCTGCAGGCAAAGAGCCTCTTTTCCTAAAGACGCCAAGTAAGCAAAGCCCAGCCAGGAGTCCTTTGAAGGGTATTCTTAGGACTCCAGTCAAAGCTTCTGAGCTGTGTAAACTAAACAGCCCATTGTCCAAGACTCCCAAGAAGAGCGTCACATGGTCTCCGTCGCCTCAGAAACGTAGAGGGGAGGAGGACCGTGCAACTTTCAAAGTTCCTAAGTCACCAAGTTCAGCTTCTCTTGGTTCTCTGAGACAAATGAAAACTCCCAGCCCAGACCAAAGCACTAAAGCTAAAAGAGACATTTTTAAAACCTCAGATAAAACCTGCCAAGTCAGCCTAGTGCGGCTAACCGAGCATGATCTCCTGACTCCAGAAAAAATTCTGAGACATGTAACTAGCAGCACAGATAAAACTAGGGATGTGGTTGATCCGGAAACGACGCCTCCATCACCTCTGGAACCATCAACCTCACGTTTCTCACCTGAGTGCAGAAGCAGAGTGAAAACACCGAGTCCTGTTCACCAGATGGTTACTCGCTCTGGGCGAACTCCAAGGAAAGGGTCAAACACCGCACCCCTGCTTCCAGCAACACCTCCAGACGGTGACGGGGCTCCAACAGAACCAGCTTCTGTAGGCTTGCTCTCAACCGAGGAGCAGACGGAAACACCTCGGTCTTCTGAGACCAGTCTCCAGACTGAATCTCAGGAAGCGGACTCCTCTCATGGTAACTCTGCCACCACAGACGACAACAGCTTGGATATCGTTGATGCTACAGTGGTAAAGACTCAGCTTAATCAAGGCATAAAGATGAGCATTAGCTTCTCAAGGAAGTCCTCTGTGTCAAGTTCAGACTACCTCCTAGGAAGAGCTTCCCCTGAGCAGGCTCTGCCGCTTCAAAGCACGCCAAGTCGGAACTACGGCTTCCGAAAAACCCCCGACCGCCAGCAGAGGGAGGCCGCAGCTCGTTTAGGGTACGGGAACGATCCCCCTCGATTTTCAACCCCGAGAGGCTCTGCAAGATCCACCAGTAAGAAAGGCTCAGATACTCCAAGTTCTCATACCTACCAAGTGGAACTGGAAATGCAGACTTCAGGGCTTCCGAAGCTTAAAATCAGACGAACAGACTCCATGAATGCAGACGGTGGTTCTCCTCTACCAGGAGCGCAGAGCCCTTTAGTTGGCGCAAAGACTCCCGTGGAAAGCCCCTTGGCCCTGACGTCCAAACCCAGAGATCCCGCCAGTTACTCTCCATCTCTCTGTACTCACGTCACTCCCGGAAAAGGAGGCGTTGTCCAAACCTTCATCTGTCAGTCCTATACACCGACACGCCATTGTGCAGTCAGCTCATCTCCTGTTCCGGGTGCGGTGGCCGACCTGATCCCCCTCACCCCTTCGCCTCAGAGTGTGGGCAAAAAGACTCCAGAGAACCTGAACAGCTGGCCTCGCAGGAAGAGGCCTCAGCTCGGCGTGTTCGGGGGGAAGGATCGCGTCCAGAGGGGAGAGCCTCGCCTGGAGGAGCTGCTGGAGGAGGCGGAGCTCGGGGTTAGTCGCCTGCAGGACTTTGAAGACCCTGAAGAGCCCTCAAGCAGTAAATCTGAAAAACTGGCTTGGACCTTTAAACAGTCGCCCCCGGTGGCAGTAAATGTGTCCCCCCTCTCCCCTGGCGAGGACTTGTATTGGATGGCCAAGCTGGCTGACGGCGCAGACTGCGCCGATCCTGAGAAACCTGCTGAACGCCTCTGGGCAGCAGAAACTGGAGATGTGAAGTCAAGTAAGCAACATCTTTACATTGTTTGTCATGAATTTGAGCTTTAAAGAATAGAAAACACCTGTTATTAGACTAAAACCATGGATTTTACATTTCATTATTAAATGTGTAGCATTATTTACGACAAGTACAGAGGTATTTATTTCAAAAATATATCTTAGTCTTAAAATTAGAAGCATTTTAGCTACTAACTGTTTTTTGGGGTGTTTTTGCCTTTAGCCCCTTTTCTAGGCTGCCCAGGCTAATTCAATTAAATTTAGTTTATTTATATAGCCCCAGTTCACACCATGTCATCTCAAGGCACTTTCCAGTTCACCAGATCATACAGTCAGATTGATTAAAAGTTTTCTATCATTCAGCAATCCCTCACACTAAGCATGCTTGTAGCGACAGTGGAGAGGAAAAACTCCCTTTTAACAGGAAGTAACCTCCAGGAGAACCAGGCTCAGTGTGAGCGGCCATCTGCTGAGGCTGACTGGGGTTCATGGAGACAGAAGCAGAGATAGAAAAAGAAGCATAGATGCAAAAGGCAACTGTCAACCAGCTCCACAGGCGGCCCCGTCCAGGAAACACACAGCCAGGCAGACGAGCTCCAACATCTATAAACAAAGGTGTTGATGGCAGCAGGAAAGCTGATATTTCTCTCCAGGATGGAGTCGCAGCCAAACTAGCATGAAGAAGCTACTATGAGAAAAAGTAGAGAGAGAAAAAGGGGTCCCTTTGTCCTCCAGCAGTCTAATCCTATAGCTAAAGGCCGGAACACACCGGTTGCATGTGTTCACTAGTGCATTCTATAAAGTAAAGTCCCACTTAATGAGTCAGTACAGCATCTCAAACCAGAGCAGATAGAATGTTCATATATTAAAACATAATAAGATCTACGTCTAAAGAGAAAAAAAAACATGGCAATAAACGCCGTGGGACGGTTACGATTTCATTCATTCACCGCGTTGTCTCTCCTCTCTGGCAAAAGTTACTCCTCCCAGTCGGAAGGGGATAAAACCCGTAACCCCGAGTGGTATTTTGGCCCTCACTCAGTCTCCGCTGCTGTTTAAAGGAAAACCAGGTTCCACTAGTAAGAAAACAGCAAACTTTAAAGGTAACGTTTAAATTTGATCTATATATGTTCCTCATAATGCAGGTCACCTAATCTGGGTTTCTGTTTCAGCCGAGGCGACCTCAGGGAAAACAGAAGGTGGACATGAGCTCTCGCCTTTCAGCCTTTCTCAGCCCACCAGGCGCTCCAACATGGGGAAGACTTGCAGCCGGAAGAGGCTCCTGCGTTGAGGCAGATGAAGACAGCGGAGGTCGCAGAGAGAAGATGTCTGTTCTGCACTGTGAAGCTGAGGCTATGGGAAAGTCATCTAAGATAAACTGGGAAGGTTTTCTTTCATTGAAACCGTTAGTTTAAATGGTGTTAAAGAATAGCTTTCACCACAACTAAAGTGTCCATGTTTGTTTCTTTAAACCCTCGGATCTTTTCCCCAATTTCTATGCTATTGCTTATTTATTAATTGCTTTTTTTTAACTTTGTTTTTCAGTGAAATGTGTTTCCTGAAATCTTGTAAATATGCTAAATGTTGATAAATTCTTGTAAATAAACAGTTTTTCTCAACCATTTGGAAGTCATTGAAAAGCAGGAAGGTTAAACCGGAGCGCTGATAATAAAATCTGTGCTGTGGAACCATAAAAACATCTCTAACACGTTTATCAGCAGCTTGCAAACAGAAACGCTCCCATCGCTTCAAAGGTCAGCTTGGTGAACTCTGTCCAGCTCACCATTTTACACGGGTGACCCACCCACATCTGAACAGCCGTTTTACTTTCACTGCCTTTGATTTCACTAAAATCATTACTGTAGCTTTAAAATTAAATGCTAAACTACTTATTGAGCGCAGAGGGAAAATAAATGTAGTATTTAGATTATATTTAGAGCTAAATGAGGTGAATAATAATGGATCAATTTATTGTAAACAAAAGTATGAACTTTGACAAGGATTAAAACATGACTTCCTCTCATTGTGACGGGAAAACCGACCGCTTCAACAATGCAAAAACCATCTAGAAATACGTAAAAATTTCCTCAAGTGTATTTACCCTTAATTTGATCAGGTAAATAGGATGATTTTCCAATGCAATTAGTATTTTTACTGTAAGATGATTGGATAATATGCACTTAAAGGAAGACAATGCAATTATTTTTTATTTTAAATGTACGTTCTCTTGTTCCATTGGCAAAGTGTCCCACCACGTCAATTCAACAAAAAATGTCTTATTTTAAGAAAGACGTTACTTATTTAGATTTCCATGCTTTGCAGTGAACTCCAGCATTCTGTGAAAGTTTATTCATTAAAATCCTGAAAGAATTGATTCGCTTCACATGTGAATTTTGTTTTAACTGCATCAGATTGATTTCTAAAATGCCCCATGGTGTTGCATTGTATGGAGTGATAATGTTATTACCAGGAAACTGAGTCCACTGGAGGGCCCAGAAAAAACTCAGAACTTCCAAGTATTTTTCAAATTCCAATATTTAAATCCAGAATGTTCAGCACAGCTTATTAAAGTAAATCATTGTTCTTCTGATCATTGCTGTATTCTACTATTTCCCAGCCACTGTCCTTAAGGCAACTTCTCTGCTTTTTTTTTTACATGTTTCCAAGGTTCTGGACACCTAATTTAAATCAATGCCTCATTAACCAGCTTCAATATTCTGGTCAATCAGTAACCATCTGAATAAGATCTATTAAATGCAAAGTTTTATTAGTTCAGGTTTGAATGTATCTCCGCTTTCACACACCTGAGTCAAAGAGTCGGGTCATTAACGAGCAGATTTGTGGAGAAATTTACTTCATACAGAGGAGGTCATTCGTGCAAATCAACTGTGTGCTTTGTTTCTATTCTACAACTTGAGTGTTCTTTGGAGAACAGGTTATAAAAACACTAATATTGTATTAAAACAGCCGTTTCATTTAGAAAAGAGGCACATCATGGAGGACATTAAAGGTTCTACCAGGCCAGACAAGAGAGGACAGGATGCAGGAGTGCTGAGAGCAGCCAGCACTGCTTGGGGGGTGGGGATATCTGGACGGGATGATCTCTATAACTGAATTGTAAGTTTTTGGAAGCTGGAATCTGAGTCCACCACCTCTGTTTAAAGTTGTTTTTTCTCTCTTAACATAAATTGCTTCCTTCACGCCCCTCTCAGACCACCTATTTTCTTTATCCAGAATGTGACCATTCTGGTCCTCCACAGAATGTCCTTTGTCCACAAGGTGTAGATGTACTGTAGTAGTAGTACATCTACACTTTGTGGAAAAAGGACATTCTTTTGAAGATGTATTAGTAAATATATTAGTAAATGTCCATGTAAAAACATACTTCCACACTTGTTTCTCTTATCTATACATTGGTGTTGAATGTAAAACACTTTCTGTCTGAATTAAGACCAACTTCAGTTTTGCAGCTATTTCTATTTTTATCTAATATAGCTGGTGTCAGGTCCATCAGCTCCCTCTTGTATTGATCTTTCTCAGGGTCATTGCCCTGGTTCTTCTGCAGATCAGTGATGTCATATGGGAATAGCTTAAGTGCACAAAAGCAAGATAAACGTTTAGTTAAATAATATTAACTTATCATGTAATATTAGGTTACAGACAGTCCTGACCTGCTGTCATCATCCATGTTGGCTTTAAAATAGAAAGCCATGGAAACCTCTCCTAGATGGATGTTTGTTGTATAGATTGAGAACTCCCTGCAGGCTCTTGAGTCCAGATCTTCAACAGTTCGGGAATAAAACATGTGCAAACTAATTTGCACACTCAGAGCAGATCACCATAGAAGCTGCAAAGTAATTTGTGTTTGCAATGAGGCGGCAATTCTATATGCCAGGCATCCCCAAACTCGGTCCTCGAGGGCCGCTGTCCTGCAGGTTTTAGAGGTTTCCTTGCTCCAGCACAGCTGATTTTAATTGAAAGCTAATTAACAGGCTTTTGCTCTACTGCAATCATTATAATCAGCTGTTTTAAAGCAGGGAAACCTCTAAAACCTGCAGGACAGCGGCCCTCGAGGACCGAGTTTGGGGATGTCTGCTATATGCAATTAAAGCAAAATGAGAACCGCTATGAATGAACTTAAAAATTGTGCCAGAATTATTAAAATGGAATATCAACAACAGCAACGGTGGTGCACTGATGCCCAAACAGTTGAGCTATACTGCTTTGTTAAACAGTCGCGCTACTTTTGGCTGTTCAAATATAAATCACCACTGTTTTGTAGGAGCCCAAGATCAGTATTACAGTCAGTTTCAGTGTAACTTATTTTTAGTTTATATATATCATGATTTAAGAAAAAAAAAACAAAAACAAAAAACAGAAATACAACAACCTGATGTCTGTGTCCTCAATGGTTGCTACAGCCATGCTTGGATATGACAAATACTTATTTGGCTGAATCAAAATTTAACTGAAGGTAACAACTTTTGGACCATAGAATAAAAAGGGATGGACTCAGAGCTGAACCTTCAGAGGCTCATAGAGACAGGAACACGGTGGGCTTTTCTTTTAAAAGAAGAACATCTCAGAATTAAAGGACTAAAGTTGAAAAACTACTTTCTGCTTCGTTTATTGAATTGATCCCGCAGCAGCGTCTCCAAAGGTCTGCCTCGAAAATAGATCAGACAGCTGCAGCTGATCTAGAACACTACTGCCTGCATCCTCACTAGAACTAATAAAGTAGATCAGACAGCTGCAGCTGATCCAGACGCTGCTGCCTGCATCCTCACTAGAACTAAGAAAGTAGATCAGACAGCTGCAGCTGATCCAGAACGCTGCTGCCTGCATCTTCACTAGAACTAAGAAAGTAGATCAGACAGCTGCAGCTGATCTAGAACACTGCTGCCTGCATCCTCACTAGAACTAAGAAAGTAGATCAGACAGCTGCAGCTGATCCAGAACGCTGCTGCCTGCATCTTCACTAGAACTAAGAAAGTAGATCAGACAGCTGCAGCTGATCTAGAACACTGCTGCCTGCATCCTCACTAGAACTAATAAAGTAGATCAGACAGCTGCAGCTGATCCAGACGCTGCTGCCTGCAACCTCACTAGAACTAAGAAAGTAGATCAGACAGCTGCAGCTGATCCAGACGCTGCTGCCTGCAACCTCACTAGAACTAAGAAAGTAGATCAGACAGCTGCAGCTGATCCAGAACGCTGCTGCCTGCATCCTCACTAGAACTAATAAAGTAGATCAGACAGCTGCAGCTGATCCAGACGCTGCTGCCTGCATCCTCACTAGAACTAATAAAGTAGATCAGACAGCTGCAGCTGATCCAGACGCTGCTGCCTGCATCCTCACTAGAACTAATAAAGTAGATCAGACAGCTGCAGCTGATCCAGACGCTGCTGCCTGCATCCTCACTAGAACTAATAAAGTAGATCAGACAGCTGCAGCTGATCCAGAACACTGCTGCCTGCATCCTCACTAGAACTAAGAAAGTAGATCAGACAGCTGCAGCTGATCTAGAACACTGCTGCCTGCATCTTCACTAGAACTAAGAAAGTAGATCAGACAGCTGCAGCTAATCTAGAACACTACTGCCTGCATCTTCACTTGAACTAAGAAAGTAGATCAGACAGCTGCAGCTGATCCAGAACACTGCTGCCTGCATCCTCACTAGAACTAAGAAAGTAGATCAGACAGCTGCAGCTGATCTAGAACACTGCTGCCTGCATCCTCACTAGAACTAATAAAGTAGATCAGACAGCTGCAGCTAATCTAGAACACTACTGCCTGCATCTTCACTTGAACTAAGAAAGTAGATCAGACAGCTGCAGCTGATCTAGAACACTGCTGCCTGCATCTTCACTAGAACTAAGAAAGTAGATCAGACAGCTGCAGCTGATCTAGAACACTGCTGCCTGCATCCTCACTAGAACTAATAAAGTAGACCAGACAGCTGCAGCTGATCTAGAACACTGCTGCCTGCATCCTCACTAGAACTAAGAAAGTATATCAGACAGCTGCAGCTGATCTAGAACACTGCTGCCTGCATCCTCACTAGAACTAAGAAAGTAGATCAGACAGCTGCAGCTGATCTAGAACACTACTGCCTGCATCTTCACTAGAACTAAGAAAGTAGATGAGACAGCTGCAGCTGATCTAGAACACTGCTGCCTGCATCCTCACTAGAACTAAGAAAGTAGATCAGACAGCTGCAGCTGATCTAGAACACTACTGCCTGCATCTTCACTAGAACTAAGAAAGTAGATGAGACAGCTGCAGCTGATCTAGAACACTGCTGCCTGCATCCTCACTAGAACTAATAAAGTAGATCAGACAGCTGCAGCTGATCTAGAACACTGCTGCCTGCATCCTCACTAGAACTAAGAAAGTAGATCAGACAGCTGCAGCTGATCTAGAACACTACTGCCTGCATCTTCACTAGAACTAAGAAAGTAGATCAGACAGCTGCAGCTGATCTAGAACACTGCTGCCTGCATCCTCACTAGAACTAAGAAAGTAGATCAGACAGCTGCAGCTGATCTAGAACACTGCTGCCTGCATCCTCACTAGAACTAAGAAAGTATATCAGACAGCTGCAGCTGATCCAGAACA